AACAGACTAGGAGAAGCAATTGAGCAGGTGACAGGGACCTGTGGAAGTATAACAGGATTCTTGTTATCAGCGCGTCAGGACAGAAAAAGAAGGTAAGGCTAAAAATATTAAAAAAAGATAATGACTAAAAACTTCTTAAACTTAGCAAGAGGCACAACTTCATTTTGATTCCACAGAGCTAACCATATTTTCAAATACATCATTTTTTACCTGCTATCTGACATACATTTAAATTTCACATATGTATAGGTATCATTCTGAGTTCTATATACTGTTGGTCCACGTATCTGATAACACATCAATATAATACTGTCTCTGTTATTATAGCTTCAAACGTTTGGTATCTGGTAGAACAGTACTTCTTTTTCTTTAAAGAAACACATTGGCAATTCTTGTCCCTTTGACCTTCCTTTTACAATCCACTTTTTTAAGCTCCAAAGTGTTGCTGGGATTTTTACTGAATTGCATGGACTCTACAGATCAAGTAGGGAAAATTGAGTTCTTAATGGTATTTAACATTTCTAGCATTAATGTGGTAAACACAGTTTTATCCTTTCCTTTCCTTATATTTACTTAGCTCTTCATACCTTGACAGTTTCAGTACTTTGTTCATAGAGATCTTAACGATTAATAAATCAGTACTTAATACAAAAAACTCAAAAATAGTTTTTTTCTGTTAAATTTGGTTACTATTTGTTGCTACTGTTTAGAAATTCATCTACTAGACTAAATTCAGTTATCTTTAAATATCTAGATTCTTTGAGATTTCTAATTCTGGGTGTCTTTAATAATTTTTTTAATGTCTCTTCTCACTGACTTCTAGAACATAGTTGAATGAAAGTGCTGATCGTAGGCTTGTTCTTGTGTTATATCATTATATCTGAAAAAGAATACTTGTTACTATTTCCCCATTAATTGTGATGTTTGTAACCTTCAAATAGAAGACAGGTGTTTTAAAAATCAAGAATTCAGGGGCTGGGAAGGTTGCTCAGTGGTAGAGCGCTTGCCTTGCATGCATGAGGCCCTGGGTTCGATTCCTCAGCACCACATAAGCAAAAAGAAAAAGAAAAAAACCAGAAGTGGTGCTGTGGCTCAAGTGGTAGAGCACTAGTCTTGAGCTGAAGAGCTGAGGGACAGCGCCCAGGCCCAGAGTTCAGGCCCCATAACCAGACCCCCCCCCCAAAAAAAGAAAAAATATATCAAGAATTCACAATATAGATTAAATAGTTTTTAATAAATTGCTCACATGAGAAATCATGAAGTTCATTTTCTCAACTCTTATGCAATAAAACTAGACTTAAGAATAAAAATTTAAACATACTAGCTTAGAAAACTTATAAATAGCCCCTCTAATTTTTAAAAAAGTAGCTTTGAAAAATTGAAGCTAGACTTAAAGGTTTAAGAAAATAGCAGCTATGAGATTAGCAGTTCATCATAGTTTGTGTGATAAGGCCAATATTATGTAATCAAGAATTATAGCCTTTAATGTTTTCCTTAAAAGAAATGAAAACTTAATGAAATAAATATTCAAATAAATACTGCTCCATCAGTATTTAGTTTTCATGCTTCTTCTCTATTTACTCTCTCTTTAGGGGTCTCTTTAATCTTGTAGTTTTACTACCTTTTATAAACTAAGCCATCACATCTCTCCTGCACTCAAGACTCATACATTTAGTTATCTACTGAATGCCTGCACTTACATGTCTAATAAGCATCCTATCTTTAACATGTCAATAAGAGAACTTTTGATCATTCCTCTTCCCTCACAGAGGAAAAAACAAAAAACCTTGCTCTGCTAGCATCTGCACTTCAGTAGATTATTTGGGTCAGGCTAAACTGTTGATGTAATCTTTTTTTTTTTTTTTTTTTTTTTTGGGTCCGGTCGTGGGGTGTGAAGTCTGGGCCTGGGCGCTGTCCCTCAGCCCTTCAGCTCAAGGCTAGCACTCTACCACTTGAGCCACAGCACCACTTCTGGCTTTTTTCTTTTTGCGTATGTGGTGCATGCCTCAGGCATGCAAGGCAAGCGCTCTACCACTGAGCCACCTTCTCAGCCCCTGTTGATGTAATCTTTGGCATCTATCTTGTAAAAAATGCATTTCTATCTCTCTTAGCCTATCTTCCAACAGGATATTATATTATCTGCATTTAGATTGTCATAAACGGGACAATTTCTTATCAGTTCTACCATTCCAGTCTAATCCACCACCATCTCTTTCTGGATAGTACTATATATTACTATTATAATAGCTATATTATTCTATTATTACCTACTACCTTACCAGATAATAATATATACTAACCTTACCAGATAATAATATATACTATAAAGCATATTGAAAGTTTGTGATACTAACCTAATGACACATATGTCAGTGGAGCCATATACATAGATCATAATGTCCTGCAACATATAAAAGAACTTCATGTATGATAAAAGAAGTGTAAAAAGGTGCGAAGTACTGGGTGTCAGTGGTTCATGCCAGTAATCCTAGCTACTCAGGAGGCTGAGATCTGAGAATCCAGTTGAAAAACAGCCTGGGCAGGAAAGTCCATGTGATACTTATCTCCAGTTAGCTACCAGAAAACTGGAAGTAGAGCTGCAGGTCAAACTGGGAGAGTGCTAGCCTTGAGTGAAAAAACTCAAGGACAGCGCCTCAGCCCTGAGTTCAAGACCCACAACCAACAACAACAACAACAAAAAAAGAGATGTGTTTTCATAAATGGTACTCTGAAATTGGCTACTTGGGAAAAGTTTTTATTCTTGTGTTATAACATAAATTCCAGAAATAATAGATAACATTTTGTAGCATTTACTTCTTGTTGGAAAGTGCCTCACATGTATTATAATGAAGAAAACATAATTAGAAGAAATATATGACCACCTGATCTCTAGAAGTTAAGGCTAACATCATACAAATATGAAATAATAAGCTAGGTGCAAGTAGCTCATGCCTGTAATCCTCACTACTCAGGAGGCTGACACCTGGAGGATTGAGATTTCAAGCCATTCCAAGCAGCAGAGTCTATGAGGTTTTGTTTCCATGTGACCAGTTCAGTAGAAAACCATCCATAAGCAAGAAAGCCAAGTGAGAACATGAGGTTTTGAGTCAAGTCCCATTATAGACACAAAAATGAATTAATAGACAGATGATGTGATAGGCAGATGGGTGATCAGGTGGACAGACAGAAAAAGTTGATAAAATTAGCTAATGCAGTTACTAAATCTTTTTCTGTTTCCAAAACAAATAGATTCTGTAAAGGTAGCAACAGAAACAGCACTGGATTTTAATCTCTCTAGGAACATGCAGAGAAACTGAACTAACATTTAAGATCATGGAAATAATTTACAATGAAATCAACTAAAATGTCTACACAAATCCCCAAAGATAAAAAGGACAAGTTACCAAAACCATAAGTTCTTTATAAAGTTAACTTCTGGACAGAAGGTACCAGAAGAAAGCACCAGGACTAGCTGGTGAGAACCATAGAACTTCAAAACAAGCAACAGATATTTCACTGGAAAGCTGATTTTAGAACAAAAACTGACATTGGGAAGAATGTAGAGATCCCATGCAGCAATCTCAAAGCTGAAGGAGTGGTCTCCTTCAGTCTAGGACCCCTTACTGAGCCTACTATCAAATCAGGAACAATAGAGATGAAAATATAAGGGGCGGCAAGGGTTTGGGGAAAGCAAACCACCAAATATTTATGTTCTACATAAAAACAAAAAGGGTTTAGTGAGGTTCTGAAAGCTTGGAAATAATATTTTAAAATAAAAATTAGTAAGAGAAAACTGTTGTGATCAAAACCTATAGTTTCTTATTACAAATTTATATTGTAATAACAGGCAATTAATGACAATTGTCCACAAAAAGTTAAGATCTTAGTTCAGAATTTACTAAAATACATTTAAGAAAATGATAATAGCACTTGAAAGATCAACTTAGGTCCTAATTTAGAAAACTTACATAAGGGAAATGGATAATTATAGAAAAGAATTAGAAAAAATATTTGAAATAAAAGGAACATATAAATAAATATAAAGCCCTAGAGAATCAAAAGATTGAAGGAAATGTTTGAAATTAAGGAAAAATGAAGAAAAATTAAACTTCGAGAGAAATAAATTAAAAATGGAAGTAAGTACCTGTAAGCTCCCAGCTTATCAATAATTAGAGCAAAGGGAAAACTGGTTAGAATTTTATTCCTTGACTAGTAATGGCTTCCTTGACTAGTAGTGATTTCCAAGTTGAGCTTGCTTCATAATAATACATTGAGTCATATATTTTTGTGAGACTTTTCCTTGTATTTGTTTTATATTAAAATGTAAGGGTCATAAAATGTAACAAAAAGGCAAACATACTGGTAGATATTAAAGAAAAATTTCACTCAAGGCTGTGGATGTAACTTAGTGGTAGAGCACTTGCCTGTCATGTACAGATTATGTTCAGTCCTTAGCACTGCAAAAAAATAAAACTCATCTAAATTGGTAAAATAATGCTGACAAACCAATAATTATGAAGGACACTATATGAATGTATTCTAAAGCTTATAAACACTAAAAACACTGAGCCTTTCTAGAATATTTCTTGAAAGACAATGTTAAAAAGGCAATTGGGGGAAAAAAAACTAAATTCCATTGCTAAGTGGATTTGGAGAGAATGGAGATAGGGAAGAAACTCTAATAAATATACCCATTAAATTATAATCACCTTAGAGATGGCCTGCTTTCAGTCTATTGAAAGTATTTTCTTTTTCTAATAAACTTTACTATCACTTTCACTAAAACTAAAATACATACACACATTAAGGTACAGATCAAGGTGCTATGAGTGATGTAGCCAGGAGAGGATAAGCGTGTTGCTGGTCAGTGCCCTTCACTCTGATAACCAGAATTTAATAAAAATAATAATTTGCTTTCTGTTCATGTTGAGTGAGCATGGCATTTGGTAACTTGGAAGTTTGATGATGAGTTACATTGAATGCTTTCTGATACTTTACAGTGAGAGACCTACCACCAATTTGCCTTGATGTTAGACAAAAGCAGCGAATCTCTATTGATGTATTATCATCTGAAATGAAGGCCCCAATCCTTCCAGAACCACTCCTTCCTATCCAGCCCAAAACTATGAAAGACTTTCAGTAAGTTTCAACTCACTGGACTTTCAGCTATCTTCATTCTGTGTTTTACATAATTTAATATCTTTTGTGAAAAATTCATCAAACTTGTAGGCCACTATAAAATCAAGAGTAAAGACACCGACTATGTGTCTCAAGTTGAGGTTGATAAAGGTTAGCTATGTTAAAGCAAAAGAAAAGAAACACTTAAGTAAAAAAAATGAGTCCAAATATGCAAAAAGAGATGGTGATAAAATAATAAAACTCTCTAACTTTTTTTTTTGGTCAGTCCTGAGGCTTGAACTCTGGACCTGAGCGCTGTCCCTCTGCTCTTAAGCTCAAAGCTAGCACTCCACCACTTGAGCCACAGCACCACCTCCCGTTTTCTGGTGGCTTATTGGAGATAAAAGTTTCACAGCTTTTCCTACCCGGCTGGCTTTGAACTGCGATCCTCAGATCTTAGCCTGCTGAGTGGCTAGGATTACAGGTGTGAGCCACCTGCACCTGGCTAGAACTCTGACATTTAAAAAAACAAATCCAGTGGTGCTGGGAAGATGGCTCAGTGATAGAGTGCTTACCTCCCATGCGTGAGGCCCTGGGTTCGATTCCTCGGCAACCACATAAACAGAAAAAGCCAGAAGTGGCGCTATGGCTCAGGTGGTAGGACACTAACTTTGAGCTGAAGAGCTGAGGGACAGCACCCAGACCTAGAGTTCAAGCCCCAAAACTGACAAAAAAAATCCAGCTACTTTTTTACACATACTATAAAAACTATGTCACTATTCAAAAACTCAAAGGACTAAGTAGGAATGAGAAAGCAGAGATACAGAGAATAAACAAAATTTTCACAAGTTTGACTGAGAAGGAGAGGAAGTAGAATGACAATTAGAAAGGCCAGGTCAAGAATAAACTTTTTTTTTTACAGCAGGTAAATGGGAAAGTTGAAACTTGATTAATATCATAATCCAGTTAAGAATTATATATATGTATTTTTCATAAACTATGTTTACGTTAACAAGCAGATTTCTCTATCTGGTCTCAGTATTTCAAAGTGCATAGTTGGTAACATATATATTTAAAATAAATAATAGTGTTACTTGAATAATATTTCTATATACAGCTAATGCATATTTCTATTTTAGGGAAGATGTAGAAAAAGTTAAGACATCAGGGGATTGGAAAACAGTACATGATTTTTATCTTACAACATTTGATTCTTTCCCAGAATTAAATACTGCATTTAAGGTAAGAATATATAAAACATTTTCATTCATTTTTAGTTTAACATTTTCCAAAATATATGACTTTATCTCATTACCAACAATGAAACAACTTTTTAAATAAAAATACATGTATTGATTTTAAAAAATCAAATGTGTAACAAATATTACTTAATACCTTAACTATTAAATTTATTTGTATGGCTATTAATGATTGACTCAATTCTTTTAGTTTTTTCGTTGTTAAGGCTTAAACTCAGGGCCTCAGCCTCTTACTGGTCTCTGTTACTTGAGCCACATTCCCAGTCTTCTTGCTGGTTTGGTTTCCATTCTTCTTTCTTTTCCCCCCTCCCTCCCTCCTTCCTTTCCTCCCTCCCTCCCTCCCTTTCTTCCCCCCTTCCTTCTTTTCCTTCCATCTTTCTTTCTTTTTCTGGTCAGTTGGACATAGCATCTCTCAGACTTTTTTGTCCAGGCTAGCTTCAAGCTATGATCCTCAGATCTCAGCCTTCTGAGTCACTAGGATTACAAGTATAAGCCACTGGTACCCAGCTAATGGTTCTTTTTTACAGAATACTTTTATAAAATAGTAAAAATTATCAAAGAATAGTGATTCAGATATTACTAATAATAGTTCTTAAAATGTTATATACACTTAATTTTTAAATTAACTTACAGAAAGATGCCACGGCTTTATTTAATACCATTGAAGACTCTGGGATTAATGCTAAATTTGTGAATGCTGTGTATGATGCCTTACTTAGTACTGTAAGTATTATTTATGGACACATTCAAATGGTACAATTCTGTTTCTCTTCTGTATTTCAAATATAACCATACAATGTAAAAATCACTTTGTAACATAAGTACATTAGAAACTGATATCATTTTAAGTAAATGTAATTGAATTTCTCATTAATTATTACAAATATACTACTCTGTACTTTCTGCATAAGTTTTCTGTAAATCTGAGACTTCTCTAAAAAATAAAGTGTATTACTAAGAAAATTGGGCTGTCATATCACAAGAACCATCTCACCCAATGGCCAAATATGAATCAATTTGGCTATTAAAATCAAAATAACAATGAATTATAACCATTGTGGAAAATAAGAACATTTGAATCCATCTAATGAAAAATAGATGATTGATAAATATATTTTGAAAGTAGGAGAAATAAAAAGAATGTGGACTAGTAAGTATACAAGGAATTAAAATGTTTAAAATTTAAGATTTACAACCATTATAGTAATAATTGAGGTAATCATTATCATAGTCAGTTAACTAAATTGCCAAATTGACAGCTGACAAAAGGTGATGTGATGCACTGAGGTATCATTTATGAGCCTACCAAAAATATAATCACAAGAAAATAGATGGAAAAAAAACAATAAATGCCTAAACTCTTCAAAAATGTCACTATCATGAAAGACAAAAAAATGAAAAAAATGGTAAGGAGTTTTGAAAATAGTTATCGTGGAAGGTAGCAAACTATTGTAAGATTGTCAGTGTTGTGAAGTATCCTTTTGACTGCACAGTGTGTGTGCAGTCAGCCCATAAATTTAATCTTTCTCTTACAGGTCTTTCACTAAAACTATTGTTTTCCAGTTATGTAACTGTTGTTGATCATCAAAGGACAACTGGACATATTTTTCCACTTGTCTAGTGCATATCCCAGGGAGAAATCTCACTGGAGTTTTACATCATTTTTGTTTCCTAGAGCTTTAAGAAGAAAAATGAATACTACTCTATTAGTACTTAGCCATCACATCTGATATTAATTATTGAAACTGATATGTAATACAGTTAGCATGTAAAAGTCTTAAATAGCTAATCAGATTACATTACTTTATTATTTTCTTTTGCTTACAGCCTCAAGACATTCAGAAGACAGTATTGAAGGGAATCATTAACAGTCTGTTACGAGAGTGGAAAGGGTAATTGTAACCAGTATTGTAACCAATAAATATAGATTACTAACTTACATATCTCATATATCTTTTTTTTTTTTTTTTTTTGGGTCTGGTCGTGGGGCCTGAACTCTGGGCCTGGGTGCTGTCCCTCAGCTCTTCAGCTCAAGGCTAGCGCTCTACCACTGGAGCCACAGCGCCACTTCTGGCTTTTTCTTTTTGCTTATGTGGTGCTGAGGAATCGAACCCAGGGCCTCATGCATGCAAGGCAAGCACTCTACCACTGAGCCACTTTCCCAGCCCTCATATATCTTTAATATATTTTATGTATTTTACTCAGATATTTTAAGTGAATCATAATAATAACATGGATCAGAAAAGGATTATAAAACGCTTGCAACAAAGATGCTTAACCCAGTTTGTGATTTCTCACAGGCTCCATACAAAAGCATCTGAAAATTGGTGAATCATTTAAAATTATGTCATGTTTTGTGTAGAAATATACATTTTTAACAAATATAGGTTGGATAGTAATCAGCAACCACAGTTTAATAGTATGGGCATTACATTTAGCTTTTGAGATGTGTAGTAGCTTAAGCAAGTATTTGTTTATACCCAGTACAAAAAAAAAAATCACCCTACCATAAATTTAGTTTGGGGGGCTGGGAAGGTGGCTCAGTGGTAGAGTGTTTGCCTTGCATGCATGAGGCCCTGGGTTTGATTCCTCAGCACCACATAAACAGAAAGAAAAAAGCCAGAAGTGGCGCTGTGGCTCAAGTGGTAGAGCGCTAGCCTTGAGCTGAAGAGCTGAGGGACAGCGCCCAGGCCCAGAGTTCAGGCCCCACAACCGGACACCCCCCCCCCCCAAAAAAAAAATTTAGTTTGGGGCTTCCTGGTAACCAGAGAAAACTTTTCAGAAAATGATTACTGGCCTCAGAGAGAATAAGTTCCTGTTACTTCTCAGTCAAGTGCCTATGGATAGAAGAGAGCTAGGTCTTGTGGCTCTTTTCTGTAATTTTAGCTACTTGGGCTGCCAAGATTAGAAGGATTATGGTTCTAGGTCAGCCTGGGCAAATGTTCAGGAGACTTTATCGCAATAGAAGTTGGGCATGATGGTACATGCCAATCTTCCCAGAAGGCAGCATAAAATATGAAGATTGTGGAATAGACACAGGCTGGGCACAAAGCAAAACCCTATCTCAATCCTACTAGTGCAAAAAAGGGATGGGAAAGTGGCTGGTTTAGTAGTAGAGCACCAGATTAGTAAGCATGAGTCCCTGATTTGAAACCCCAGTACTGCCCAAAAAAAGAACTGGGGAGAATGGTTTAGGCCAAACTGGGAGTTAGATGCTTTCTGAGTACTATAATGAAAATACCATCAAAGCATTTTATCAAACACACTCATACTGTTGTTGCTGATATTTGATAATTCATGTGAACATAAATGACAGTGTCAGTTTTATGAAGTCTTCACTGGGATGGGAAAGGATTTCAAAGCAAAGGTGACAGAAATAGATCATATAAGAAAGAAACCCTCTTGAACCTTGAAAATAATAAAGCTTTGATATCTGAGTTTTGTTTTAATCCAAGATTAAGCCAAGATCTTGAAATGCTATCTGATTGTCATGCAAATGAAACTTTTTAATTCAGAAAATTACTTCTGTGAATCTATGGGAAAGTATCAAATAGATCTTGAGTAGGAGAGAATCACTTACCAGCTCTGTGAATAAAAGAAATTCTTAAAAGCCTAGCAGAGCACATAATCCTAGCTGTTCAGGAGGCTGAGATCTGAGGTTCACAATTTGAAGAAAACCCTGGCAGAAAAGTCTGTGGCCATGAGTTCAAGCCCCACTACTGGCACAAAATAAAAGTTCTTCATCAAATCCAATCATGTATAATCCAGATTAATACAGAAAAAAATTATTAATCAGAGATTATTCTTTTACCTAGAAATATACTAGATACACTTAAAATATGATGTGATATGCAAGCATACATCATCTATCACTTTAGAAATGAACATATGAACATTCTTTAATGCATAAGTATTATGTAGATTATCCCATATTAAAACAAAAACATAAATATTCTAGAATTGTTGATTATTATTAGACATAGCTATTTCAGAATTAGTCATGATAGATTTTTTTTTCCAATTTGATAGCTAGCTATCCTAGTTAATTCTCTGGCTGGTTGCCTCAGAACCAACCTACTGTATACACAGAATAACTTATAAAAATAATACAATTTAACTTATTTTTTCATAATGGTTGTTCATTTTTATTAGATACTATGAGATTAAACATTTCTTCCAGTAATTGATTATGCTTATTTCTCTTTCAGCCCACGAAGTAAAGATGATCTTAGAGCTTATTTTATACTTTTACAGGTAAGATGTTAAGAACTTCATTTTGACAATATTTTTGATACTTTTGAGAATTATTAATGCTGTAACAAATAAACATCTATTGGATTAAATTTTTTTAAACATTCTAGCAGTTCCAAAGTTTGAACAAAGGGTCTCACACTTGTTATGTAGGCACTCTACCACTTGATCAACTCTCTTTATGATGATTGTGTTGGGTTTCTTTTGAAATAGGGTCTTTCTTTATGCTCAGACCAGCCTGAATTGTGATCCTTCTACTTGTGCTTCCCTACATCCCTGAGATGACAGGCAGTCACCAATTTATCCAACCGTTGATGAAGATGGAGTCTTACAAACTTTTTATTTTTTGCCCAGACTAGCCTCAAGCCATTATCCCCCACTTCTGCCTCTAAAGTGGTTGGGATTACAGGCCTAAATCAATGCTCCTGCCTAAAAATTTAATTCTTGACTCCCTGCCCACAGTATTTGGGAATAAAAAGGTCCTTTTACATTCTACTCAAACCTCTGTTCTTATAACTAGTTTTGCTGGGCTCTAGAACTTGCATTTATTTCCCCATCTACTAGGTTTCAAACTTTCTACGTATTTTTTTTAAATTAATGATTTAGAATTCTATTGGAAAGTTAAATTTCGTTTCTATTTATTATAAAGCAAAAATTAAATAAGCAAAAAATGGCAAAATGTTTTCCTTGCCAAATAACAGAATCATAGATGAAAAAAATTGAGGCCTAAATTTAAAAAATTACTTTTTTTTAAGAAAGTTATTAACTTAGGTAACATACTATGTATTATTCTTTACAATTTACAAGAGTTATTTGTATATATTAACTCACTTAAAGGTAAATTAATAATAATGTAATATGGTTAGTTCAATTTATCATAGTAGTGGTAGTATGTCCAATAAAAGGAAATGATAGGAAAACAAAGAACATAAGAGAAAAGAGGGAAATATAGAAAAAAATGACCCAAGAAGTTAATTAAAATAGAGATACAAGAGAAGAAATAGCTAAGTGAGGAGGGAAGAAAGAGGAAACAAAAACCTACAAAAATGACAACATGAAGGTTACATTTTTAGATGACTATATTAGTCATCAGTAAGCTCCAAGAACCATCACTGTGTGAAGTTACTACATAGGGTCACTAATTTTAAATTCTCCTATCCACAAATCAAGTTTAAAAAACATATAGTACTCTCTTATTTTTTCAGAATATCAATGATAACCATTTTTATAAGAAATGCTAAAATGAACATTTTGATAACAAGTAGAGTTTGGGAACTGTTCACAAGCCACTTCTTCAGTATCTTTTAACATTTATAAGCAGGGCGCTGGTGGCTCACACTTGTAATCCTAGCTACTCAGGAGACTGAGATCTGAGGATTGTGGCTCAAAACCAGCCCCAGCAAGGAAAGTCTGTGAGACTCTTATCTCCAGTTAACCACCAGAAAAACAGAAGTGATGCTGTGGCTCAAGTGGTAGAGCATATGCCTTGAGCTGAAGAGCCCAGGCCCAGAGTTCAATCCCCATGACTGACCATAAAAAAAAAAAAGAAAAAGAAAAACCAAACCCATAAGTTGTCACAAACTATTACATAGCTCTGCCCCTAAGCTCCCCACTTCTGCTTTTGCTCTTAATTCTGCTTTTGCTAACTTATTTAACTGTGGCAGGTGTTTTATCAGCTTATTTCTTGTTTAATTGAATAATAGTGATCGACAGAATAGGTACTGAGCTAGGTAGTTTACATATATTTTCTTCTTAATAATCAAAACAACTCCTAAGACAGATACTATTCTCATCTAAGTGGTAAGGAAATTGAGAATCAGAAGTTTAAGGAACATGCCTGAAGTCACACAGTAACTAGTAGAATATACCCTCTGACCCAGAACTGACCCATGCTTTCCAATGGCAGGGCTGTATAACTTAGTCTCTGCTAATTGAATAACAAATAGGTTATTGTATTGAAGTATTTCCTAGTCTGAAATTTGATTCCTTGAAGTTATCACTTAAGTCGTTAAGCTTAATGCCTTTCCTTTTATATGTTAACACAGTTTTAACATAATTTTTTTACTATCTTTTTCAGAATCCTCAATTTAATAACACATCTACGTATGTCATCTATGCTCACTTGCTACGACAAATAGCTGCCTTAGTGGAAGCTGACCATCATTTTCTAGTTCACTGGTTTAAAAAGTAAATCATTCTATAATACTAAGAATTTCTGTACTATCACAATTCTTAATTTACTATTAGTAATTTTACTTTTAAATGTGTTAGATTATTTCAAAGGTCTTTAGAAATGCTTATAAAGGTCTTAGCATTGCTCATAATTTGCGATGCTTCAAAAGTCAATTATAAAAATATACCTTTAATACTATATAAAGTATAATTCAAAACTGTTCTAGCGTAAGAATTTTGCTGTACAAGCTCTTGAAAATATCTACTGCTTTCAATTTTTTATTTAACACATTGCTATCACTGCCTTTTTTGTGTATCTCAAAGATGGAGATTGGATTTGCTGGGACGTGTTTTTTTATTTCCTACGTGCTTATTAACAAATTCCATCATTGTTTTCATGACATTTCCTCCTCACATAAAAACATCAAATTGTAAAAGTAAAAAACTTTTTTTCCTTCAAAACTATGTTCACATTAACATAATTTTCTCCATCATGGGTCAAAGCAAAATACATACAATTTTTCAAAATAATTTCCTAAGTACAATCAGTTCTCATTATTGACAGTACTTACAAGTCTACAAAGTCACCACAAATGCTAAATTAAAAAATGCTGAGTGAGCCATCACTTCTTGAAAAAATATAGTTAGGTTCGTGAGAGCCTTTGATCACATTTTTGTTATCTAGTCAGTGTATAACTTTTATCAGTGTTTCTGCTTAAAGATATCTTAATGTAGGTTATGGATTCACTAATAGTGAGCTCATTACAGTAGTACTATAAGTCATGAATGAATAGCACTCACATTAAATGTATTTCCTCCATAAGGTGCATCACATACTTATTACTTATTCTATTATGTAAGTCATTTGTGCTCACTTGGTACGACAGATAGCTCCCATAATTCACTGTTTTAAAAAGTAATGAATCATTCTATAATATTAATAATTTTGTAGCCTCACAGCTTTTAATTTGGTATTAGTAATCTTAGTGTTACTAATATGATACTAGTAAGTAGACAGTAATTTATCATTACCATTAGGGACCATTTTGAAATGGCAGATTCACCAACAAAAAGCACAAATAAATAAGAAAAACATGCCATTTGACTGTATAAAGGATAGTTGTGTGCTGTATGAGAACTGAACAAGAAGACAGCCTTGTTCAACCTCATCTGGAAATGTACCTGTGAGGTGACTCAAATTTTTCTTTTTCTTTTCATGTCCACACATGATCATAAAAGCTAAGTATTTATTTTGGAGTTAATAAGCAAACAGGATTAAGAAAATTGGAACATTTATAATTACAGAATCTGTGAATAATGAATAAATATCAGAAGCCCTAAATATTACATTACTAGCCATGTAATAATTTTGGGGTTCAATTCTCCTATGTTCATAGTAGAATTTTTTATCTTTTAATAGGTTGCCAACACAAGACAGAGAATTTGAAAGACTGAATAACCTGAAATTTTATGCATATAGGATATAGTTTAACAATGTTTAACAAATGCATTAATAAAATAGAAAATGAGAATTTTAACCAGAATTATTTCAAAATCTTTACCAGATTATCCCAGAAGAGGTTCAAACAGTTGGTAGAGAGATTGCTGCAATTTATTTCCTTACGCCTGTTTCCTGCAAAGCCTGAAGAATTTCCCCCTATAACAAAGTGTTCCTGGTGGATTCCATCAGCATCTAAAGTGTTGGCTTTACTTAGTAAGTTCTTCCTGTTTTGTCATGTATGCGTTTCTTTTGTTAAATATTGGAGACATTACTCAAGAATCTCAGATTCTCTGAAGGAAAAATTTGTATTTTTAAATTTTTATTGCCATTTCACAATTTATAAGCTTGAAAAAATATGTCTTTTACTGAACAGTATTTTGTTTTAAAGCTATTAAGTGCATAGTAGTGATTGCTGAGAAACATGAGCTTCCATTAGTAACTGAGGACCCCTAGACAAGAACACACTGATGGGGAAAATATAAGTAGACAGCCATCTGCATGCTCCTTTGGCTCTTAATGATTTCCAAAACAAATTTTTTAAAAGTAAAAACCTACGCTTTGACCACAATATTAAAATTGCCTTTCTCATTAGAGCTACCGCTTTTAAAACATAATTTTCTAGGTCAAGACTGGCTGGTAAATGTTAAAATGTTTTTATTTCTAGACTAAATCATATGCTTGTTGGGAAAGGCCATTATGTTAGAATTTATCTTTACAGATACTGCAAACAATTTGGTTCATCCTCCTCTTATTCCTTATACTGATTTCTATAATTCTACACTGGATCATATTGATCTCATGGAAGAATATCATACTTGGCAGAGCTTTGGAAACTCTCACAGGTACGATGAAAGACTCATTATTCACCTAAAGGAAATACTATTTAAAATAATGACAATTTTAAGTTTGCATAAATGATATACACATATACCTTTACATATAAATACATATAGTTTAGATATCCAGCCCTGGAAACACCAATTATATTTATTAAATCATTTTCTTTATTTGCTACATTTTGAATGGATATACAAATTAACCTGGTTTTGGTCTAGTTAATAACATTTTTTCAAGAAGGAAATGATTATATCCGGGTATATAGTTTCTTCTATCTTATTCTGTGTAGTGCTATCTAGTACAAGAGTCATTTCTCTGACATACTAGATGGTAAATATTTTCAGTTCTGTTATACATTTTTTTAGCACAAAACAGCTTTGGACAAAATATAAATGAGTATGTCTGTGTTCCAAATAAAACAGATGGTAAACCTTCCTTCTCCTAGGGACCATGTTTGCCAGTACCTAATTTATCACATTGATCACACGTACTGTACACTTACATTCACTCCTTTTGTCCCTTATTCTGAAGAAAAAGTGGTTGCATGTTAATTACTGTGTAAAAAGAATAGATATTACAGAGAAAGACTTCACCATAGATCATTTGATACAATTGATTTTCAAAATACCTGACCATATTCTTTAATGCACTACACTTTATATACACACTCGGTTTGGATTACTGTAAGATAAGAAGAGTATCACAAATATAATTTATTCCTAATCCAAGAAATATCTAGAAGATTGCCTTTATTCTAAAAGAGACTAGAAAATACAGTATAGATAAAAATAATAACTTCAAAACCCTAGATGCATTGCTAAATTGCTAAACTTTCCCAAGACCCTGTCTTACCAAAATTGGCCTAAAATATTGAATGACCTTTGGGACATGTTAGTCCACATCTGACACCCAGAATTAAACAAAAATGTTTCTGGATACTCTAGTCAGTCTTATGGTATTTTCTAGCAAAGTGTTATAAAAATACTTTTCCTCACCTTTAAAGTACAGTAGACATGAAACAACTCGTATTTCAATGACATCTTTAACAGAGTGCTTCTCTAACCATTGCAACTGTGGCACAGAAAATACATACCAAATGAATTATACAGGACTTTAGATAATGTAATCACAGCCCATCAAGCTGGCTTGAACTTGAGTGTGTTCTGGAATCTTAGGGCAAATCACCTCTGACCATAAGCAGACTTATCCAGGTTTATCTGGGTACTTCATGCATATCTCATCATTTTTTGTGTATGCCATAACAAGAGAAAGGTTGAGAAGCATTGGTTTTAAAGTTTGTAATGAAGCTGATAATGTGTCCTATGAAATTTACTGCATTTTATTTTCCAATTTTTAGTTATTACTAGTGATTCAAAGTTACTACATACGAGTACTGAACAATCCCTATTGTTTAACAGTTTTGTCTCAGAGCAGAAGCAGTCTCATGTTCAGTTTATACTAGGACTATCTCCTTTTTCTTATAATGTCTTCATTGTGCCCAGTTGTCGCAAATATACCACCTGTCAGCTGAGATGGATCTCAACTATGACTAATTAATTCATAACAGCCACTTCTAGGCAAGTGCTCCACCACTGAGTTATACACCCATCAGCCACGTGATCACTTCTGATGGGAATCTCACTGCTAAGGTGTTACTGCTGCCATATTCATGCTTCATACAATACATTTATGTCTATGTACTTTATGGCTTTTGTTCATAGTATAAGAATGGATTCTTACCTATAAGTGAGGTTATTTATATTACAGCATTAAGTTACAAGTACACCATTAAATAATGTACTAAGAGCAACATAATTTTCCTAATCATCAGTTGGTCTTAAATTTATTACTGTCTGAGCAGGAAGCATAGCTCAGTGATAAAGTACCTGCCTAGCAAGCACAAGGTCCTGAGTTGAAACCCCAGTACCTTTAACAAAAAATACTATTTTGTTTTTTTGTGTGCTACAGTTATTGCTATGTTTTTTTCATTTATGACACACAGCAGAAGTAGCCTTTTAATAGTGGATACTTATATAATTTGAGCATATGAGTTTTCTGTCCTGTTTCTTCTTCATAATACCATTGCTTCCCAGTTCTGGTGTTTTCCTTGTTTTTTCCAAGTGATAATAGATGACTGAATAAGCTGTAATTCTTTATACAAGCAATGAGCATGATTAGCACACATTTCAGAAGATTATATATAGTTTCCTTCTGAGAATAAAAGCACTGCATATTTAGTAATGGCAACATTCTTCACAGGGCTGTGGGAATTAAGTGATAAATCATTTCACAAATGGTAAAACACAATACAAAAGTAATGTTTTATTACTAGAATGGGTACCTTAAATTCCCTTAGTATAATTTTGCTAAAAATACACCATTTTGCTTTTTTCTGTTTTCACTTGTTAAGCAGGTTTTCCTTCTGTCAGTACCCGTTCGTTATTTCTATAGCTGCCAAAAAAATCATTATTCAGAGAGACTCAGAGCAACAGATGATAAGCATCGCAAGGGTAAGCCAGCTATAAGACTACTTATGCTAACTATAATAAATATAGTAAATAAAAATAAGTCAGCTGTCTGTTGGATTGTTTCTAGCATAATCTGAAAATGTTAAAAATAAAATTACAAAGTGCTTAAACCTGTAGGCAGTACGGGAGAGAAGACACACCTCATCTAATCAACTTATTATATTACAAATGTAGCAGAAGAGTCAGTGTTTCTCACAGACTCATATTTCTAGGAGCTTGTTGGACCTCATTCTATATAATTCTCTTCCTGTTCAGGTTACAAGCAGATCACTGATGAAACTTAGGGTGAAGTGATGAGGATCTTTAAAAGACAAATGAGTAAAACCATTGTAGTATGTTCTAGGCTTTATAAAAATCAGAAACAGCCAAGAAATTAGAAAAGTATATCTCTTGGAGAACTAGGAAACATACCCACGAAGTTGTGAATGATGTTTTTGTTTTTGTTTTACTTGGCTCCTAGGAAACTGAGATAGATGCATGGAGATCCGTGAAAGCTAGGATAGCAGTCAGGCTGACATTAGACAGATTATAGAACACAGTAAAGCTCATATTTAGGCCTATCCATGAACATCCCCTACCATTTACCAAACAGAAAAGTTACATTTGTGTAATAGATTAAATGAGGTTTTTGTTGTTGTTTTATTTGGGAGGGGCCTGGTGTAAAGTCAGGGTTTTAGCTTTGCTCGGCTGTTGCTCTAATACTTGAGCCAGACTTCCAGCCCTATTTTTCGCTGGTTATTTTGGAGATAAGAGTCTTATGAACTTTTCTGTCCAGGCCAGCCTCTACCTGAGATCCTTCCACTCTTGGCTTCCTGAATAGCTAGGATTACCTAGTCATCAGTACCTGGCTAAAATTAATTTAGTTTTCTTTTTTTTGGTTTTTAGTACTTGGATTTAATCTCAGGGCCTTAGTTAGTGCTCAAGACTAGTTAGTGTTCTACCACTTCTGGCTTTTTTTGGTGATTAGTTGGACATAACAGTATCACAGACTTTCCTGCCTGGGCTGGCACTGAACCACAATCCTCAGATCTCAGTCTTCTGAGTAGCTAAGATTATATATGTGAGCCAACAGTGCTCAGTACAGCTCTAATGAGCTTTATTTAATTAGTGCTGTAGACTGTATATTTAAGAACATATATCCAGTTCCTACTCATGTTACATTATTGCTCCACAATTTTAAAAATTAAAAGGAAGCTTGAGTATAATCTAAGTAAAATGCAGAATATATGAAGAATATAAAACCTAAACCCTAAATTGCAATACTTCCAATTACTGTAAAAATAAGAATTATATAATAGTTAGTAATTTAGTTCCCAGAGATATTTTTTTCTATCATAAACAAAGATAAAAGCATTCAGTGGCTGGTGACATCCTAGAGTCGTCTTATACTGTGTGAGAATATTACAGGAAAATTTATTGCCTTTAGCTCTTAAGGGAATTCCAAATTCACATTCCTCCCACCCCCCTGAAGAATGAGTTTAAACAGATATATATGGCATCTGAATTGTTACTCGATTTTGAACAGATATAGTCTCAAAAATGAAGTTTTTCATTTTGATACTGTATAATATAACTTTCCTAGTACTTTTCCTCATTGGGCTATGTATTTATTATGTTTTAATGAAAATCTAAAGAGCTAGAAGATTGTCCAGATTTTTCTTAAAATATTGTCTTTTGTCATTCACCCTTAAAATACTAAATATTGTTTTTTTTCTGGAATTTTTCTTATACTTAAAAGGAAAATGGCAGGTATAGCCTAGCTCACAGAGCATGGAAGGAAGTGAGTAGAGATTGGAGAGCCAAGTAGCATTATTACTTCCTAGAAAGGTTTCCCAACAATTTAACTTGTAAACTGCAATTTTAGTTTAAATTAATAACTGGTTATTATTTTGACACAGGACAGCCCTATTGGTAGTTAAATGTAAGCAAGAGCTTTTATGCTACAGTCTAAAGCTGCAAAAGAAGTTCCACTGAAATGACTTCCTCAGTCAGACTGTCTAGAATTCTTACTTTTATTATGTTACTTCTTTCATTTTTTATTAATATGAATTCCTAATAGGAAGAAAAATGACTAAGTTTGTTTGCCATCCTCATACTAATATAAATTTATGTTTTGTTCATCTACATCATAATTGCTCTCTAGGAGCTATGCTAGAACAGAAGATAGGAATGATAGATAAAAGAACATACACAACACAGAATTCTGTCTCAAATGAAGATCTTTTTAGTAATAGAGAACTCAGTGAAGCAAAACACAGTTAAAAGCACTTAGCATTGGATATTGGAGCAGTGGAGAAAGCTCTTAAGTGTTTTGTTGTAGTAAGCAGTATAATACAGAATATAATGTGGAATTCGAAGTACCCTTTTAAGTTATATAGTTTTCATAGATTAAAAACGTCTTTTATCTACTAAAAGTAAATTACTATATGTACTTCAAATGTCTGAAATGCTCATCTTTAATCTGTACAAAAACTTGTTTCATTGTTATCAAAGAATATGGAATAGTCTGATAGATTATTTAGGTAAATGAATATAGAAGCATGTAAATTTTATATGATAAATGACCTATATTCCTTATATTTTAGTATGTTGGTTTTTATATACTTAGTGATTTAATTTTTAAGAGCTATGAGAAACAGATACTTTAACTTTTACAAGCATAACTATTAGTGCTATTTTAGTAAATTTTCTTTAGTATTTTCCCTATATGGGAAAACTTAGAAGAGTTGAAGCAGTATTATATATAATTTGTTCATTGCTTTCCTTAGGTGTATCTTTCTTATAGTATTTACATGGTTTTCAAAACCATCATTCTTAGTGGCTGTAGCTGCATTCGATTTCATTAGCTAGGTATGTCTTAAGATAGTTAACAATCTTGGCTTTTGTGGCTACAGCTGTATAAACAACTAGCATTATATGAAAAAAGGTATGGATGTTAAAATTTTTTATAATGTTGATCAATTACTTTCTAAAAGTAGAATAATTGTGCGTTTAGAGTAAATTCACTGTCTAAAATACCTTAAGTCTGGGTTTATTATCAGAAGTATTTACCATGATTTAAATATTCCCATTTTATATTTGTATTTATGAAAGAAAAAACTTCATTATTTAAGAGATGAGACAAATGTGAACTGTAATGCACTGTTCTTTATATAGAAGTCAATTCATTTTTAGTCCTCCCTATGTGCTCCCTTTGGCAATTGTTTCAGAATAAAGCATTTTCACAAATCAAGGTGTTATAGTTGATTTTATGAAATTGTTTATATAAGTAGTGGCACAGGCAATAATTAAGAGATTTTTGACTGAAGTATTTAAATGTTTTAAATGAAAGCATAATATAATTAAAAGTGAAAATGTTTACTCTCTTATTTAATTAGCAAAGTCTGGTGGATAAAGTATCTCGAAGACAGAGACCTGATATGAATATGTTATTTCTAAATATGAAAGTAAGGCGGACACATCTGGTTAGCGATTCACTTGATGAGGTATAATATATTCTAAGATATATTAATTTCTTTAAATTCTTAAATATGATTCATTACTTAAGTCGTAGAAACCTATTTTTTTGTTGTTGGTTATGGGGCTTGAACTCTGGGTCTGGGCGCTGTCCCTCAGCTCTTCAGCTCATGGCTAGTGCTCTTCCACTTGAGCCATAGCACCACTTTCAGCTTTTACTGTTGCTGTGGTGCTAAGGAATCAAACCCAGGGCCTCATGAGGCAAGGCAAGCAGTCTACCACTGAGCCACCTTCTCAGCCCCAGAAAGCTATTTTTTATTTCTATCTGCATATTAGGTATATCTCCTTAAAATTTGAAGCCATAGTTTAAATCAGTTTTATATAGTTAAGCTTTATATTCATTTTTATGATTATTGATGGTATGTTGTTATTGCACTCAAAAAGGACTAAGAACACTTAAATGAGTAACTCCTGTTTCTTAGTATTACCTGAATTCTAGACTCACCCATCTCTGACTTGATAGATATGTTATGTAATTTATGCAAGTCCTAGATTATCTGTAAAATTGTAAGTTGAAACTACAGATTCTATTGGGCATACTCAAGTCCACATAAATACTGATTGTATATATACATGAAGCTTCCTGAAGATAATGACTGGTTTATTTATCTGACTTTTTAAAAATTCAATGTTCAAGAAATGTTAGAAGAAAATTAATTATTTTATGGTATAGTCTACTAAATTAAAATTCTGGTGGGCAATATGATATTGGAGGCTAACCTTGGACAGGACACATTATCTGTAAAACAACCAAACACCTTGTTCACTGGCAAATTTGGGATGGATGGATGGATTGGTGGGTTTTGTAAATTAGATAGACTGTCTTAACAGTTTCCAGAATCAAAACCAGTTAATTCTCTTTTCACTGGCCTTGGTTCTTTTCTTCTATATAATTTCTTCAAATAGTTAACCCGGAAAAGAGCAGACCTGAAAAAGAAGTTAAAAGTTACATTTGTAGGAGAAGCTGGTTTGGATATGGGTGGCTTGACTAAAGAATGGTTCCTTCTTCTAAATCGCCAAATTTTTCATCCCGATTATGGTGAGTTTTTCATTTTGATGAAGTCTTTTTTTCATAAGTGTTAGGAGTCAAGTAGTAACTTATTTTTAATCTACTTTATGATTTTGCATACTTGTGTCAATGATAAATGACATATTTTTATTGTAAAGATACTGTACAGAGGAGTTACAGTTACATGAGCAAGATGAGTCCATTTCCTGTTGAGCATGGTCCCCCCCCCCCCCTTTGTGTTAATTAATTACTGAATGACCTTTTTTTTGGGGGGGGGGTGTCCAGTAGTGGGCCTGAACTCTGGGCTTGGGCGCTGTCCCTCAGCTCTTCAGCTCAAGGCTAGTGCTCTACCACTCGAGCCACAGTGCCACTTCTGGCTTTTTTTTTTTTTCTGCTTATGTGGTGCTTAGGAATTGAACCCAGGGCCTCATGCATGCAAGGCAAGTGCTCTACCACTGAGCCACCTTCCCAGCCCTGAATGACTATTTTTAACATTAAAAAAACTTTTTAACCAAATTGATGATTGCAATGGTAATTACCTGATTGGGAATGCAGCACAAGATGTATTCAGGTTGCAAGTATATATTTGTGAAGAAACCCATAGCTTTCCTGAATAGGCCAAATGCCTAAAAATAAAATAAAAATAAACAATATCCAACATTAAACACCAAAACTAGTTTGCTCTACACTAGTATTTGAAACCTCTGTCATTAGTGAGTCATTTTAAGGAATGGATTAATTTCTTTAGAAGAAATAAGGTCTTTAAACTTAAATTTTACTTAGCTAAACCACTTATATAAAGGGAAGTTTTTAGTAGTTTTCTTATTGATATGTAATATAGAAATAGACACATAAAGTCTGGTGGTAGGAAACAGAAGTAGGAATGATATGGATAAATTGATTTCTCCATATGACATGCAAAATTATTTATGAGCATTAACATGTAATTTATAGCTTATAAAATGTGTAACCTATAGTTATATATAACTTCATAAAGTTTAGTCTGCTCTTTGTCCTTCTCTATCCTTAGCTTAAAGAATAAAATGTTCTAGCTGTTTATTCAGCATGTATGTATGTATTTATATACATTGAGATTTGCCAATATTAGCCTGTTAAAGAATCTTTAAATTTTTAACATGGAAGATAGTTTGTAATTATTGCTAAAAAGGTTTATTCCTAACAGTTAATATGTCATGTACATTTTTACCATTTTTACTTTTTATTTTCTTGTTTTCAGGCATGTTTACATATCACAAGGATTCACACTGCCATTGGTTTAGCAGCTTCAAATGTGATAATTATTCTGAATTCCGATTGGTTGGAATTGTATCCTTTAAACTTTCCACTAGGAGGTGCTACTAGAGTACAGATTTTTTAAGTGGTATCTGTGTTTTAGAAAAATATTATTTTAGAAAACTAACCATTCTTGTCAAATAAGTTTTCTATAATCTCTACCATACGTATGTATGATCACAGCTGTATAATATTAGTAGATTTTATAAATTCAAAAAACTTGGATTTTTTCTGAAAAATCTCTCAAAAGATTAATTTCCTTTTCACATATAATCTAAATTATCAAAAATTTAAAACATTTTTTAAAAATCAGTGTTTCCTATTCATTATTAACTATTTTTCTGTTTACTTATTTTGTGCTTATTTCCCTATTTAGTAAACTGTACTTGTCAGAACTAAATTTAGCTCTGTAATATATTCCTGAATCCTGAGACATGAAGGAGGCATCTTTAAAAATTAAAAATTAGTGGAATGGGAATGTTTAAAACATATAACATTATTCTGTAGTGTTTTTTAATTTTATAACTCATTTGCCAATCTTTGATCACTATCAGGTATTTTATTGAAGGCATATCTCTCTGCCTTGTTAAAGTAAACACGATGCCTACACATTAATTTGGAGGCAGAGGGGGGTCAGTCATGGGGCTTGAACTCTGGGCCTGGGCGCTGTCCCTCAGCTCTTCAACTCAAGGCAAGCACTCTACCACTTGAGCCACAATGCCACTTCTGGTTTTCTGATGGTTTATTGGAGTTAAGAGTCTCACAGACTTTCTGCCCAGGGTTAACTTTGAACCATGATTCTCAGATATCAGCCTCAAGTGTGAGCCACCAGCACCTGACTCCACATTAACTTTTTAATTCTCAGAAATAAATTGTCTGTGGAAGAGAAGAGGGAAGAGTAAATAAGCAAGCACTGGAAATGCTTACATCAAAAGAAGGGAAGAAATTCAAACTTTAAGAAACAAACAGATAAACACCAGTGCACAATCAGCTGCCCTCAGTATCATTATATTCCTCCAAGAGAAGGTAGAATATTTTAAATGAAATGATTATATTTGGTTAAGGTAGGACTGGAAAGAGTAGAACAGTGTAAGTTGGAAGAATAGTGAAAAAAAATGACTGAACTATGATGAGCTTGGTACAGAGCAGTAAGACACTGATAGTTATTAAAGAAACAATTTAGAACCATCTTATTTAAGATTTTCAATCCTGAGGAATATGGAAATTGAGAAACTTGATGGGGAAACAAGATAGCAGTAGGGAAATAATACACATTGAGAGATTAAACTTATTTTGAAATTTGAATATTTAATGTGTCTAAAGGTTCAAAGTGCTAAATTCCATAACACCAAAGAATCCTGTTTTTAATTCTATCATCTATAGTACTCATGCAACAAATGTGTTTAACCTTTTTGTTTAACCTTTTTTGAAGGCCCCACCACTATACAATCACCAATTCAAGTTCCTGATATATATGATCATGCTTTAGATTTTTATATCATTGCTTAGAGTTGGATGATATTTTGATTTACTTTTATTTGTAAGATAGTATTATATCTCATTTATTATACTTTTAAAATGATGCTGCACATAAAATCATGAATTTGCCAAATACTTTGCTGTGCAGTGGGTATTAGTTTTTACTCAGTTATTACCCAAAAGATTATACTAAGCATATTTACATTTTTGTATTCCAAGTTAAATAATTAAATTCAACACTAAATTGCATTACATTATTATATTTTAGTACACATCTATAGAAATCTTTTAAAATTTGTAATAAAATGCATAGTAATAACTAAAATATTTTGAAATTTTTGTGAAGAACTATAATTTAACCATGTTTTGAAAATATAATTGTCTATGGTACAATGGACATTGGATTTAGGAATAGGGGCAATATAGTATGGGTGGGGTTTTCTAATTCTGCTGTTTGCACTACATGATCTAGTGCATCCAGAAGAAAAGCTACCTCATCCCCATCCCTGCTTCAACCAGAGCAGATCAATGAAGTGCTAAATGAAATAGGCTTCTGCATGTGAGTGCCCTGTTGCAAATCTAACAGCCTACTTCCTCACTATGAAAAATCTGATTTCAAAATTATAACATTTAAAAGTCTTCAATGAAAAATGTTACAAGTTGTCACCAGTTGGCAAAGAAGATGATACCACCATTACCAAGTTCTCAATGCTGTAGTCAATCAAAAACTAACTTCAGTATTATGTTTATCATCATCACCACTATTATCAGTTATATATTATATATATCAGTATTCTCTTGAATGCTGGTCAGTCTTTATATAGTTACTTATAAAATAGTATATCTATTCCTTAACTAACAGCCTTGATTCTGTCTTATAAATATTGGCACTCTTCCAGTGTTTTTAATTGTTTTCAGCAATTTAGTCAGCCCATATGCTTATAAATTTCCTTTTGAGACTATGAAATGAATTATTTTTAAATAATTTCATATAAAATTAACAAACATAAAATTTGATCTAAAATTTTTTAAAGAAAACAATAGACAAAGTTTATAAATATAACATCAATAACTTTTTAACTTTGACATTTAGAATAAACTCAAAGTAATGCCTTAAAGTTTTACTATAGGAGATTTCTTTTTTTTTTTTTTTTGAGGGGTCTGGTCGTGGAGCCAGAATGCTGTCCCTCAGCTCTTCAGCTCAAAGCTAGTGCTCTACCACTTGAGCCACAGCACCACTTCTGGCTTTTTTCTTTTTGCTTATGTGGTGCTGAGGAATCGAACCCAGGGCCTCAGACATGCAAGGCAAGTGCTCTACCACTGAGCCACCTTCCCAGCCCCAACTATGGGAGATTTCTTGCTCTATTAACTTACCAATAGTGTGCATATATCCATATGCTCTTTTATTTCAGCTCTTTTAACAGTATGCTTTTTTTTTTCCCCATGGTACTTGAACCCTGGACCTGAGGGCTGTCTCTGAGCTCTTCAGCTCAAGGCAAGCACTCTGCCACTTAAGCCACAGTGCTGCTTCCGGTTTTCTGGTGGTTAATTGAGGAAATAAGAGTGTCATGGACTTTGCTGACTGGGCTGGCTTTGAACCACAATCCTCAGATCTCAGCCTCCTGAGTAGCTGGGATTATAGGCATGAGCCACCAGCGCCTGGCTTGCATTTAATTTTAAAATAGCTAAAATGGTTATGTTTTCTGAAATAAGTTCTGAATAAACTTTTGCTGCTGCTTAGAAAACCACCAATTTGCTTGTTTAGATTTAGGAAATTTTTATTAGATAATTTGCAGAAATGTCTGAAGTTACTATCTACTGTAATCTTTGATAAGCTTTTCTTTTCTAGGATGATTATTTAATTCTATCAACTAAACCTTTTTACATGACTTTTGGTAATCAAGGAATTATATTACATACAGTAAGGGGAAAATAAATGAAATAGAGGAAAGGAAATGTGTGGGACTAATTAAAAATTCATTGTTAAGACTGGAAGAAATAGACTGATGCATAATTCAAAGCTCATTTGTTGCCATGGATCTTATGTTAATGCTTAACATTTAGTATGCATAGCTTATGGGACTAGCAGTTTATAACAGCATTACCTTGGATATTCGTTTCCCTCCCTGCTGTTACAAGAAATTATTGAGCCCTCCCATCGTTCCTGATGACCAAAATACACCAGTAGGCATCTGCAGTGTTACCATTGATGACTTATGTCAAATTATGCCTGTAAGTATAACTTAATTAACTTGTCCTTTAATATCTCATCTGCACAGTCTTTTTTCTTCTAATGCTGTTCTTTTAAAATATGGTTCCTTCTACTTTAAAAGTTAGTCCATTTTTGCTTAGCTTCCCCTTCTATTAAGTTTTATTTTTTAAAGTCCAGATGTGATAAAATTCCAATTACCAATCAAAATAGAAAAGATAAAGTAGACCTTTCTTAGTCACCCACACTGTAGCATGCCTAAACCCTTTAAAAATAGTGGAACAGTCTGAGAAACAGTCATTTGAAACTTGGCTCTGCCACTAACTAGCTTTGTGAACTTGGATTAGTTACTAAACCTTTCTTGAGTTGTAGTTTCCTTATGCAAACATTAGGTTTTACTAAAAATTAAAACAAATGATAACAATCATATCAAATTTATACCCAGCCTAGATTATATAAAAAATTATTTTAATGGAATGAAAATTATATGAAGTATATTAGAACATTCTAATCCATACTGTTGATCTTTTTTCATAATTTTAAATAAATTAAAAGTATTATAAGTTTTGAATAATTTTGTGTGTGTGTGCTGGTCCTGGACTTTCTTTTTTTTTTTTTTTTTTTTGTCGGCCGTGGGGCTTGAACTCTGGGCCTTGGCGCTGTCCCTCAGCTCTTCAGCTCAAGGCAAGCGCTGTACCACTTGAGATACAGCGCCACTTCCAGTTTTCTGGTGGCTTATTGGAGATAGGAGTCTCACGGTCTCTCCTGCCGGAGCTGGCTTTGAACCGCGATCCTCAGATCTCAGCCTCCTGAGTAGCTAGGCTTACAGGCGTGAGCCACCAGCGCCCGGCCTGGACTTTCTTTTCTTTAATTGGAGATAAGAATCTCATGGACTCTTCTGCCCAGGCTGGCTTCAAACCTCAATCCTCAGCTCTCAGCTTCCTTAATAGCAAGAATTACAGTCATGAGCCACGGGTACCTGGCAACTTTGAATAATTTAAAAATACTATGTTAGGGGCTGGGAAGGTGGCTCAGTGGTAGAGCACTTGCCTTGCATGCCTGAGGCCCTGGGTTCGATTCCTCAGCACCACATAAGCAAAAAGAAAAAAGCCGGAAGTAGCGTTGTGGCTCAAGTGGTAGAGTGCTAGCCTTGAGCTGAAGAGCTGAGGGACAGCGCCCAGGCCCAGAGTTCAGGCCCCACAACTGGACCCCCCCCCCAAAAAAATAAATAAAATCAAAAATAAAAATACTATGTTAGTTTTATTTTTAAAAACAAAATTAAACTAATAGGCACAGGAAGGAACTTCCTGAACAGAGTCCCAGGGTCACAACAAGTTGGAGAAAGACTCGACAAATGGGACTACCTTAAAATAAAAAGCTTCTGCACAGCTAAATCTATCGCAACTAAGCTAGAAAGACAACCAACGAATTGGGAAAAAATATTTACCAGCAATATATCAGACAAGGGGTTAACATCCTGTATATACAGGGAACTCAAGAAACTAATCCCTCCCAAGCCTAACAAACCAATTACTAAATGGGCAAGGGAACTAAAGAGAGACTTCTCAAATGAAGAAATAAAAATGGCAAAGAAACACATGAGGAAATGTTCATCATCCCTGGTGGTGAAGGAAATGCAAATAAAGACAACCCTGAGATACTACCTTACCCCAGTCAGAATGTCCCACATCCACAAATCAGCCAACGACAAATGCTGGAGGGGATGTGGAGAAAGAGGAACCCTATTACACTGCTGGTGGGAATGTACACTTATACAACCACTTTGGAAAGCAGTCTGGAGGGTCCTTAGAAAGCTAAAGATTGACCTCCCTTACGACCCAGTCATACCACTTCTAGGCATCTACCCTGAACAACAGGAACCAATATACAAGGACACGTGCACCTCCATGTTTATTGCAGCACTGTTCACAATAGCTAGGATATGGAAACAACCTAGATGCCCCACCACAGATGAATGGATCCAAAAATTGTGGTATCTATACACAATGGAATATTATGCAGCCATTAGAAATGACAAAATAATGGCATTTGCAGGGAAATGGATGGAGCTAGAAGGAATCATGTTGAGCGAGGTAAGCCAAGAATGAAGAGACAAACGGTACATGGTCTCCCTGATAAGTGGATGCTAAATCCAAAATGTTAGGTGATATGACAAAACTAACAGGACTTAAGAAACAAAGAACTCCCACTCATCTGGTTGAACCACTACTAAATATCCCCATGCTGCTGATCACATATAGGGTATATAACATGTGAACACCGTTATAACAGACTGTGATAGACAATTTGCTCCAGGAAAGTTAGAATGAACTTGTGACTTTAAATGAGCATCATTATTCCACAATACTGTGAATTTCCAGAAATTATGTAATCACTTAACCACAATCAAAAAAAAAAAAAAGAACCTCAGGGAAGGGAGGGAGGGAGGGGATGGTAGGGGGAAAACAATGGAGGGGGTAACAATGTTCAAGAGGAAGTGTACTCATTACCTCACTCTTGTAACTGTAACCCTCTGTATAGTATCTTTACAATAAAAAAAATCAAATTCCTATTAAATTCTTATTCATGGGTAAGTTAAGTTATAACAAAATATAGTATTTCTTCCTTTGTTCTCACCTTGTACCTGAGAGAAGACACAGTAACAGAGTATAAACTACTTAACATGTGTGATCTCTATGTTTTATGTTTAAAGATAAGTCCTAAAATAGAATTTTTGTGCTTTTTCATGAAACACCACGAATTCATAAACAATAATCTAGCAAATAGCTGTGAATTATGCTGAAAATCACGTTAGAGTTATGCTTAGCTTGCTGCTTAAGAATAGATCCTACATGGGCTGGGAAGGTGGCTCAGTGGTAGAGCGCTTGCCTTGCATGCATGAGGCCCTGGGTTCGATTCCTCAGCACCACATAAGCAAAAAGAAAAAAGCCGGGAGTGGCGCTATGGCTCAAGTGGTAGAGCACTAGCCTTGAGCTGAAGAGCTGAGGGACAGTGCCCAGGCCCAGAGTTCAGGCCCCATGACCGGACCCAAAAAAAAAAAAGAATAGATCCTACAGTTAAATCTGGTTTTAAAAAATGGATAATTTCCTCCTATATAACTAATGAGTTTTTCCAAGCTTTTGGATGGCAGAAGTTGGTAACATGCATTTGAGTCCTGGAAAATACATCTCAAATATTTATTTTGAAATCTAAGTTTACCCATTGTCTCACATGGAAATGAACTACAGTAGATTTACTTGAAGTACTGCTAATAAATGTTAAAAGACATAACAGATTTCTTTTTATAGGAATTGGCCCATGGATTAAGTGAACTTTTATCATATGAAGGCAATGTTGAAGAAGATTTCTATTCAACATTTCAGGTACTACAAAGGACATATAAATGTTTGTCAGCCATATACTTTATATATGAAAAATGTCATATGTACTAAATAGTCACCATTAGAAAAGATGAAAAATCCCCTTCTTAGAGGATGTTAGCATGATAGAGACACCTAGAGAGACACAAGTAGATGAGAACTTGACAAAACTGCTTCAAGATAATCCACTAGATATTCTCTTGATTCAGTTACTCTCTGAGACTTTCAGCCTCTCAAAATAGACAGTACTCCTGTACTGTCACCACAAGAAGTTAAGAGTTGAAGCTGATGGGTCAGACTAAAACACTGTTATTCCCACTGCTCTTCGAATAGTCAGAAGGTAGATGTTATAGTGATCTACATAGCTCCAAAGACCTGAGTATTGGGTCTGGGTGACACACAAATTTTGTGGCTACCATTAAAGTATTAAATTGTATTTCCATATAGGATTAAGGCACCTTTTTTTTTTTTTAACTCCATGATACAAAAAGGATGAGAGAGTGGCTCAAGTGGTAGAATGCCTGTCTAGTAAGTCCATCACCCTGAATTCAAACTCTAGTACTACAAATAAATAAATAAACAAAATGCCACAATTGTTTGGCCTTTCTGTAGTTATCTTTTTGATGGGAGAAGAAAATTGTTCTTTTTAAATTTTAGAAACCTGTTCAATTGAAGCCTGTTATTGAACCAATAATATAACTAATATCCTATTATGATTCTCATCAGGTTTTTCAAGAAGAATTTGGAATAATTAAGTCTTATAATTTAAAGCCAGGAGGTGATAAAATTCCAGTTACCAATCAAAATAGAAAAGGTAAGATAGACACACTTTTAATTAAAATGAATTAGTGTTTATTTACTGTTTACCTTTTCTATATAACAGATGTACAATTGCTTTCCAGAATATGTACAGCTCTATATTGACTTCCTTCTCAACAAATCTATCTATAAGCAGTTTGCTGCATTTTATTATGGATTTCATAGTGTATGTGCTTCAAATGCCCTAATGGTGAGTTTAAAACTTTAAATTGAGCTTTTAATTAGGTTTTGTAATGGTATAACTTAGACAAATAAATATTTTAAAATTAAAATTTTTAATTTAAATCTCTTCTTTTAAAAATAGAAACAAACACAGCTTTCCCAATTCATTGTTATGTCTCTATAAAGTTATTCATGCACTTCATTTCTCCCCCTTCTGCTGTTAGTATAGCCTTTATAGCTTTCCCCAAGGGCCAGCTGCCAGTGGCTCATACCTATAATCCTAGCTACTCAAGATGTTGAGATCTGAGGATCATGGTTTGAAAGCCAGCCCAAGCAAAAATGCCAGCAAGGAAAATGCTTGGGTGTAATTGTGGCTTAAGTGGCAAAGCATTGCTATAAGTGAAAAATCTAAGCAAGAGCACAAGTTCCCAAAATCAAGCACTGAAATAAACCCCCCCCCAGGACCCCCCCAAAAAAAGTTATCCCAGTTTATTACATGGCTTTGAAGTTGCTATAATCCTAATAAGCTAGTTGGGAGATCGAGATTGAGAGGCTCATGGTTCAACATCAGCTGAGGCAAAAGTTCGCAGTAACCCCATCAAAATTAATAAAAGCTGAGTGTGGTTACACACCTGTCAACCCAATTATGCAGAAAGCATAAATAGAATCATAGTCTAGCTATGAAAGCCAAAAGGACTGGAGGTATGGTTCAAGTGATAGATCAGAGCATCTACCTGGCAAATGCAAGGCCCTGAGTTCAAACCCTGGTACAATAATAATTTTAATTATATAAATTAAGAAAAAACTTTACCCAGATAGAAACCCAAGGGACAATGCCACTTAGCTTCCAAGTAAAAGCCACAGTTTTCTCACTGCTAACTGCTTCCTACTTCCTTAAGATTCCTTTAGCGCCGGTTGCCGGTGGCTCACACCTGTAATCCTAACTACTCAAGAGGCTGAGATCTGAGGATCACAGTTCAAGACAGCCCGGGCAGGAAAGTCTGTGAGACTCTTATCTCCAATAAACTAGAAAACCTGAAGTGGTGCTGTGGCTCAAGCAGTAGAGCTCTCACCTTGAGCTGAAGGCTGCAGGGACAGCGCCCAAGCCCAGAGTTCAAGCCCCACGACCGACAAAAAAAAAAAAAAAAGAATCCTTTAGCAACCATGAGTTGCCCTCTCCAGAATAATGGTAAACTATGGTTGTTTTGACTTAGCCACCATGTAAATTTGGGGTTGAGTATTAGAAATGTCATATAAAACCCTTCAGCTACTAAGGACAGAACTCCATTATGCCACTTGTTGATTATTTTTTCATAGGAGAGAAGTGGACTATTGAAATTACTTCAGGGCAAGAGGAGGTTATTTTTCCAGCTAAAAGCACCTTTGGAAAAGAAATACTTTACTGAACTCTAATAAAATTTTAATTAGAATATACTGGTATTTGTGGGAATGGAGAGAGAGAAAATCAGAATTAAATGTCAGTTTGTTCTTTGATTTTAGGTCTTTAATCTCTTTTTCTTTTCTTGCTTTTTTTAATCGTGTGTGTGTGTGTGTGTGTGTGTGTGTGTGTGTGTGTGTGTGTGTGTGTGTGTCCTCCAAGGGCTTGAATTCCAGACTTAGGTGTGGCCCCTAAGCTTTTTGCTCAAGGCTAGTGCTCTGCCACTGGAGCCACAGCTGCACTTCCAGCTTAATTAGAGATAGGAGTCTCATAGACTTTTCTGTCTGGCTATCAACTTCAATCCCAGATTTCAGTTTCCTGAGTAGCTAGGATTATAGATGTGAACCATTGGTGCAAGGCCAAAACAAAAAACAAAAACCTATGATTTTAATTACTATTTTGGCCAATAATTATTGACAGCTGCTTCGTCCAGAAGAAGTTGAAATTCTTGTCTGTGGAAGTCCTGAACTGGATATGCATGCTTTGCAGAGAAGTACTCAATATGATGGCTATGCAAAAACAGATGTAACTATAAGGTGAGTTCCTTATAGTTATGCTAATGAGACTGTAGGAAATAGAACACAAAGAATGTAGCTTGCTTATATGTATAACTTACAAGTTTTAAATCAATTAATGGAAATATTGTAAAGTAGAAGAAAATTATATAAGAAGCTTTCTATTTAAAGAAAGTAAAGGAATTTTACTTTAAAAAATAGCTTTGATCATGAAGTTTCAGGGATGCTATATTTATAAATAGCATTTTAATAGTATTTTGTTAAAAAAGAAGGCTTATAATTATATGTAGGACAGAAATAGACTCTGTATCCATGCACAGAACTTAAAAAACCAACAACCCAATTAATAAATGGGCTAATGAGCTAACAGAGTCTTCTCAGAAGTAAAAATGGCCAATAGATAAATGAAAAAATTTTCATCATCTCTAGCTATAAAGGAAGTATAAATCAAAACAACATTGAGCTTTCATCTCACTCCATTATCAAAAAACAAACAATAACAGATACTGGTGAGGATGTGGTCAAAAGGGATCCCAAATACTCCATTGGTGAGAATATAAACTTGTTCAACTACACTAGAAAACAGTATGGAAGTTCTTCAGGTAAACATAGACATACCCTATGATCCAGCAATTTCATTCCTATGCATTTATCAAAAAGGCTACAGTAGGGCTGGGAAGGTGACTTAGTGGTAGCGCGCTTGTCTTGCATGCATGAAACCCCGGGTTCGATTCCCCAGCACCACATAAGCAAAAAGAAAAAAGCCGGAAGTGGTGCTGTGGCTCAAGTGGTAGAATGCTAGCCTTGAGCTGAAGAGCTGAGGGACAGCACCCAGGCCCAGAGTTCAGGCCCCACGACTGGACCCAAAAAAAAAAAGGCTACAGTAAAGCCACCAGCACAACCATGTTCATTGCAGCACTATTCTCCATAGCCAAGGAATGGAATCAGACCAGATGCCCCTCAGTGGAAGAATGGATCAAGAAAATTTGTTATATATACACAATGGAGTTTTATTCCATTTGTCAGTCATGGGGCCTGAACTCTGAGTCTGGGCACTGTCCCTCAGCTCTTCAGCTCAAGGCAAGCACTCTACCACTTGAGCCACAGTGCCACTTCCAACTTTTTCTGCTTATGTGGTGCTGAGGAGTCAAACCCAGGGCCTCATGCATGCAAGGCAAGCACTCTACCACTGAGCTACCTGCCCATCCCCCACACAAATGTTTTGATTGAAATATGGTAGATTCAAGGGAGAATACAGAAAAGCAAAGTCAATATTCAACAAGATAAATACCAGGAAGTGAGTACTTTGAAAGGTGTGAATTGGGATGAAGGAGAAAAGGGTAAAATGAAGAGAAGAGGGGAGAGTATAGTCAAGAATTCAATGCATATCCTACAAAATTAAGAGGAGTAGGGGAAAAAAAGAATAAAGGAAGGGAAGAGATGGTTGAGAATATTGAATGGGGTGACATTGATTGAGGTACATTTTATTCATACACTGCTTTGTTAAATGACAATTCCTTTGTACACTTACTAAAAGATAATAAAAATATCAGAAAAAAGGTTCTAAATTATCCATTCTAGGATTACTTAAATAATGTCATAAAAATTTTATTTTTTATGTAGTTATTTTAGTAAAAAATCTGATTTATAAATAAAAACTTCCTTTAATTTTGTTAAGATTATCCTTTTTTTCCAGCTTTTCTTAACAATTTTGCAATACTAAGAACTAAACTTGGGAAGGCAAGCACTCTACCCCTTGAACCAGTCCAATGATAGTACATATGTTTAAGGAAACTTTTTCTCAGAAGTTTTTATTAGTTTGTTATGATTTTTAAGGCTTTTGTCAGAATATTTTAGTAAATTTTCTTCTGTAGATACTTTTGGGATGTTGTACTTGGATTCCCTCTTGATCTTCAAAAAAAGTTGCTTCATTTTACTACTGGAAGTGACAGAGTACCGGTAGGAGGGATGGCTGATTTGAACTTCAAAATTTCAAAGAATGAAACCTCTACTAACTGGTAAGCTTCTAGATTATAATTTTATTTTTAATCTGTAGTTTATTGTTAATTTGGAGTTGGAGGAACCAGTTTGATGTCATTTTTTTCATACAAAAAAAAATCTCCACATAGAACTTCCCTATGACCCAACCATACCACCCTTGGGCACCTACCCAGAATGTTACAAGCCAGGATATCATAAAGACACTTGCACATCTATGTTCATTGCTGCACTATTCATAATGGCCAAATAATGGAAACAGCCCAGATGCCTTGGAGTCGATGAGTGGCCCCTTAAACTGTGGTATATGTACACAGTGGAACTTTATTCATCCATTAGAAAGTATAGGATTATGTCATTTGCAGGAAAATGGATGAACCTAGAACAAATCATGTTAAGTGAAGTAAGCTAAGCTCAAAGAGACAAACAGTGTATGTTTTCTCTCATATGTAGAAACTAGATCTAAAATACAACTGGACATGATAGCTTAGACAACTAGGCATTTACATAGACCAAAGGAGGATACAGTAGGGGAGGAACTCCCTTGAATATTTAAAATACTATTTATCAAAACCAATTTCCAGGAAATATGGGTTGTTAGTGGTGGTGGTAGTGTGTGTGTGTGTGCTTTTTAATTTTTTTTAAATCTTTTTCTGCTTCTTGGGGGTGGTGGTAAAGTGAAGCACAGAAAGTGAGGGAGGGTAGACAAATTCAAACATGGTATTTAGTATGCACTATGTGGAAAATGAACTATGCCACTTGTGGGCAGGGACAGGAGGTGGACACTGGGGGAAAATGAAGGAAGGCGTGATATTGTGCAAAGGAGAAATGTACATGTTACCTGAATTGTGAAATGGTAACCCCTTTGTACAACACCTTAATAATAAAAATCAAATTACATTTAAATAAATAAGTAAATTAATAATCTCCAGGGTAAATGTGGCCATGAAATGAGAGAGACATTGGCTGAAATGCCATTATTGATTTTTGACACATACCAATACTAACTGAAAGAAATTCACTCCCATTAACTTTATTTTGCTAGGTCAGATTATTGCTTTGAAATCTCTTTGAGAATCTAGACTACTTTTATACAAGTTTATTTCTAGCTTTCATTTTTATGTAAATAATTTTTATTTTTAGGAAAAATTTAAATTGGAATTCTTGTTTGTTTAGAGTGGGGACCAATTCTTACTGCAGAAATACTTCCACTGTACTTCTTTTCTAAAAACCTTTTCATATGAAGTGATGATGGCTTTATTTTAATTAATGTTGATCTTCTTATTCCTTTGCCAAACTTCTTGTAATTTCTAAAACTAATTTGAGTAGACACAACTTTGACTATAAGCATTTTTTCTCCTGCCGCATACATTGGACATTCTGAGTAGTGAGAGGTTTCCCTTTCATTCTAGAGAGTGAATCTGTCCTTTCTTTTTCCGGCTTCCAACACCTTATATAATTAGTTTTTGTCTCATCCCAGTTTTTTTAAATGTTTCCTTCCTGTTCTTCCCTCTCTAATTATGTTACCCTATTAAATTTATTTGCCTTAACACCATCTGATCATGATAATTCTCTTCAAGCTATGTATCAATTTTTATTTCTTTTCATTCTTAGTATAATCTTTTACTAAATTCTGTAACATTCTGTACTTACCTTCCTCTTTTTTTTTTTTGTGGGTCGTGGGGCGTGAGCTCTGGGCCTGGGCGCTCAAGGGGAGCCCTTTTCCACATGAGCCACAGAGCCATTTCCAGTTTTCTGAGTGGTTTATTGGAGATAAGAGTCTCATGGAGTTTCTTGCCCAGGCTGGCTTTGAACTGCAATCCTCAGATCTCAGCCTCCTGAGTAGCTAGGATTACAGGCATGAGCCACTGGCGCCCAGCAACCTTCCTTCATACCTTTAAGTTGCTCCCTTTACATGAAGTTTATACTTACTACCTTTCTTGAAAACCCAGTTTAATATTGACTTAAGTTGTTATGACTTCAGTGAGTTCCTCAGATATACAAGTGATGTGCTGTTTACCTTATGTCTTAGTCATTTAGCTCTTCGAGGGAGAAATCAGGGCATTATATATCTGTGGTTTCTACATAGGCACACATGTAGTAAATGTTTCTTAAATGAGTAGTTAAGCCAACATTAGGACTGTTCCAATAGTATAAAATAAATATTTAAATGTATGTATAAAATTAATTCCTGAGTAATATTTATAGTTAAACACCTAAAATGAGAAAATTTCAAGGCTTTATTTGCTCAAAATTAATACTTTATAATTTTATTTTAGTGCTACTGGGTTTTGATATCAGGGCCTTGTTCTTACCAGGAAAACTCTACCATGTGAGCCATGTCTCTAGCCTTTTTTGCTCTGGTTATTTTGGAATAAGGTCTCATGTTTATACCCAGGCCAACCTAGAGCACAATTCTCTCCTAATATACTCCCATGTAGCTAGGATGACAAAAAACACACAGCCACCACACCCATCCTTTCATTGAGATGAGGATCTCATGAATTTTTTGCCCCAGCTGGCTTAGAAACATGATTCCCTAATCTCTGCCTCTGCAGTAGCTGGGATTACAGGCATGAAACATTGCACCAGCTGGAATATTTTATATTAATTAACTTTGATCCTCTCAGCTATCCTTGACCTATATCAATGAGATAAGATGTACACTATCCACATTCCAAGTGAACAAGAAAGGCCCTTACCTAAGCCCCACATGCCTTTCTGTATTACTTTCCTTAAAAGAAAGTCATATTTTAAAACTCCCTTGGGGAAGATAGAGCTTGAAAGGCAAGAGCTTACAATCTTCCAACATGTAAGCTTGATAATAATTATCAAAAATATATATATTATCAATTTAAAAAGATAATTTGAATAGTATGTTTTAATACAAAGGTGATATTATATGTGAACTTCACCGTGTATTATTTCAGTGATTATTTTATGAGCTAACATGGCTTAGTCATGAATCTAGAACACTTAGAAATCCCAGTGGGAACCACACATAGACTACATATATCTTACTATCAAAGACATATGACATTGCAATCTGACCCAGTTAACAGGGTACCTCAAGAGACAGAACAACAGATTTTTGTTAAATAACAGTGTTAAATCTTTATGTAATCGGCAGCATTGGTTTTGAAGTCAGATTGACCTGAAATTGACTACCAGATCTACACCTAACTTTATCCTTTGAACAGACAATTTAATGTATATAATCCATGTCTGTTTTACTCATTGGTAAATTGAGCATGATAACCTTTAGTTGCTTTGAGACTTAAGTGAAACAGTGTTTGTCCAGTGCTATGTTTAGTATCATAGACTAGGCACTAAGTAAACACTGATCCTGTGAACACTTCAACTCTCAGTTTAGACTCATTATAGGCTAAAACCTCAATTCTTCTGGTATACCCCCTGTTTTATTATTAACTTCTTTGATAACTATTCTATTCTATGAAGTTCATAAAAACTGAAGGGGGGAAGAGTTTGAGATACTCGTAGAAATCTTCAGGTAGAGGATTGGGGAAGATGATGGTAAGGACTTAGAAGGTGTAGTCACATGTGCATTAAAGGCAATAACTTTTGAAAGTGTGGCCATCTAGTGTCTCAGAAATGTTCTTTCCATAACTTTTTAACAGTCATGGCTCTTGTGCTGTTTATTACATTGCTAGGTGTTTTCTGTAGATCTCTCTTTTTTTAAAAAAAAAACCAACCTATTATGATGATGGAACAAGTAAGATAATGAAGATAGTAAGAATCTCAAAGTTCCATAGCTTGTTAGTAAAAGAAGCAGTATTCAAATTCAGATCTGACTCCAAACAAATCTTTTCAAATGAAAGTTTCCTGAGAGCAGGGCTATTAATTGTCTTGTCTGTAAACATAACCTGATTGTCTAACATGGCACCTGAGACATAGCTTAGTGCTTAATAAATATTTGTTTAATAAAGAATGAATCATCCTGTAGAACAGTAAAATGTACTGGAATGTGTCTGTTTTAAAAAGACATTTTACCAAAAATGTTTACATTTTTAAGATTCACTACCTCTTTAAAACTTATCTTTCATAGGCTACCTGTGGCTCACACCTGCTTCAATCAACTCTGCCTTCCCCCCTACAAGAGCAAAAAGGACCTGAAACAGAAATTGATCATTGGAATTTCAAATTCAGAAGGTTTTGGACTTGAGTAACCTAGCAGACTTGAAATATAAATTTTATATGTAGCATTCACTTCCCTCTTATTGTGCCTTTAACCTTTTTGTGTTTCTGTCTCAAGATACTTTCACAAAGTTCACCAACTTTAAAATACTGAAGCTTTTTTAAATCAAGTATGAAATATGCTTAGTGAAGGCATGATTTTCTAAAAACAGAAATTTCTTGTGTGAAAGAAAGACCACATGGCAAAGGCAGGTGTGGGTCCAGTTGCTCTTTTCTATAGCACTTTATCATTTTCCATAAGTAGTTTGTCACAGGTGTTCCACTGGGAAAGCAAGGTGCAGTAAGAAATGCATTTATGACAAAGTTAAGCCCAGTGGCAGATTGTGCGCTGCTAGCACACCGTAGCAAAGTAAGCAGCTACATTATCTTTAACATAAGGCATGTAGCCATATTTTCATATTGAGGTAAACAACAGTATAAGTGCACATGCAGTTTACAGGGTCTTTTGATATACTGGTTTGGGGTCCTATACGATTCTTTTCAACTGTTGCTGAAAAGCATGTAAATAACTACATAATAGCCTAAGAAAAATGGAATTTTGATAGTGACATTTATTGCTAAAGATTTATTTTTACAAAGTAAATTCAGGGTTTTAGATGTGTACACAGCTTTTACAAATCAATAAAAAGATGATTGTATAAGAGTATTTTCAGACTAATTGGATTTAAGGTTATATTCTTTTAAGTATTGTTAGTCTGCATGCACATTGGCAGCAAACCAGTTACCTGAGTACTCTGTAATATTTGTATAATGATCATTTCTTCTTAAAGATCAAGATATTAGAAAAAAATCAGATCTGAATAATCACTGATGAACTAAGTCAGAAGCACAAAAGAACTGCTTTTATATATATTTTGATTGGTGTACAAGACATACTTATTTAATTCTGATCACCAGTTGTACTGAAACACTAATTTTTGGAAAAAATAGGATAAAGTATTTGACAAAAGTGGATACAATAATAGCATTTATGTCAAAATGATAGAGCTTGGTATAATGAAAAGCTCAACATTTTGGCTAAAATGTTTGTTGCTCACTGGATTCTGAATATAGTAAATTCAAACATACCCTTGTTTCTCATTTCCCATAAAATAGCATGTAAAAAACACTGCCCTTTAAGTCACAGTAATTTTTTTTATTTATAGCGAATGAAGCAGTTTTATTAGCATGTTACAAACATTTTTGGATTGAATTCTCTTATTCTTTGAGAGTTTTTCTTCAGAATACTCTGAAGTTGTATTTGCAATAATAATGAAACCAGCATTTAGTACCAGCATATGATTCATTTGCAAATAATACTTCCAAAATCTTTTCTGAGTTAGGCCATTTCCTTGCTATTATGCTTCCTGCACCCAACCAGCAGAATTCTTCAAGGGTGGAGGAACTAACCAGCTTGTTTTCCTACAGTTCTGAAGCCAACTCCTTAATCTTTGAGGGAAAGGAGTCAGTTGAGTTACTATTACTGCTGAGATTGAAATGACTCTGCTTCTCCACTTGGTATGCTATACAGCGTATTTCTTCTTCAAATTCTTGGCAAGCCTATGAGAGTTAAAGGCATATTGGTTTGGTATGGTTTTATTCTGTTTTTAACCCACATGCAAATAAAACTGCTTCTCTCTTACACTGCTTGAACTAGAATGTAAGATGTTTAATGTAGGTTACTACTAATAAGCACAAAAGAATCATGTATAAGAAACCAGATTTTCAAGTGTTTTAAGTAAATGTAAAAGTTTTTATTTGATAGAGATGACTCATGGAAAATAGTGTTGGCTTGGTCTGCATGTTTAATGATGTGCTTGTATATGATAGCTATGTCACTTTTAAGTAAGATGTTCACAAGCAAGCCAGATGTTAAGTGACAACGTCCATAAATAACTGGAGGATTATTGTTATCTGTTGTTAAGTTGAAATTTATAAATCACTAAATTGCACATAACCTTTATTTATTTATGCTGTTTTCGGTTTACAGTGTAATAATACCTCATTTAAAATTAAAAACCACTACTGTTACATTTTGTTAATTTAAACAGCTAGAAAATTCATGTAGTTACTTTTTTATATGCAATCTGTTAATGAATTCTTGATTTTTGTATCCACCACAGTAAATTAAAGCATTGCGCAATATTTATAAAATGTCTTGGCCTTCTTTTAATCTCTCAATCATTGACTGGAAGTGCTTTATCCAGACCATGATCCTTCCTTCCAAGATTCAGCCTCCCAAGAAGCTAGAATTATAGACATGAACTATCAGCACCTAGCTTTTATTTTTGAATTAGCTTACATAATAATATAAAAAATTTTCATTAGATTAATTCCATATATATATATAAAGTATACTTTTTTTTTTGTCAGTCATGGGGCTTGAACTCTGGGCCTGGGTGCTATCCTCAGCTCTTCAACTCAAGGCTAGCACTCTACCACTTGAGTCACAGTGCCACTTCCGGTTTTCTGGTTGTTTATTGAAGATAAGTTTCACGGACTTGCAGATCTAAACAGCTGCATAGATCAACTAGACTTAACAGACATCTACCGAACATTTCACCCAGCAGCATCAGAATACACGTTTTTCTCAGCAGCACATGGAACGTTTTCTAAAATAGACCACATTTTAGGCCACAGAGCAAACTTGTCTAAATTCAGAAACATTGAAGTTATACCTTGCATCCTCTCTGACCACAAGGGAATAAAATTAGAACTCAACACCAAAAGCCACCAAAGAAAGTCCGGCATCACATAGAGGCTGAACAACACACTGCTGAATCATGAGTGGGTCATGGAAGAGATTAGAAAGGAAATTAAAATGTTCATGCTATTCAACAAAAATGAACACACAAATTACCAGCTCCTCTGGGACACAGCAAAGGCAGTACTCAGAGGCAAGTTTATAGCTCTGAGCTCCTACATCAACAAATTGGAGAGATCTGAAACTAACAATTTAATGACACATCTAAACCTCCTTGAAAAAGAGCAGAAAGATAAACCCCAATCCAGTAGACGGAAAGAAATAATCAAAATTAACTCAGAATTAAATGAATTAGAATCCAAAAAAACTATAGAAAGAATCAACAAAACAAAGAGTTGGTTCTTCGAAAAACTTAACAAAATTGACAGACCCTTAGCAAATCTTATCAGAAAAAGAACACACCCAAATTAATAAACTCAGAGATGAGAATAGAAACATCACCACAGAAACAACCAAGATTCAGAACATTATAAGGGAATACTTCTCAAAACTCTATGCTAATAAGTTTGAGAACTTGACAGAAATGGACCTTTTCCTAGCAAATATTGACATGCCAAAACTAAACCAAGATGAGTTAAACTATCTTAACAGGCCCATATCAAGCACTGAAATAGAAACAGCAATAAGAGACCTCCCAGCTAAGAAAAGTCCAGGACCAGATGGTTTTACAGCGGAATTTTACAAGGCCTTCAAAGCAGAGCTCACACCAATACTCCTCCAACTCTTCAATGAAATTGAAAGAGAAAGCTCACTACCGAACACATTCTATGAAGCCATCATAACCCTCATCCCAAAACCAGGCAGGGACTCATCAAAGAAAGAGAACTATAGACCCATTTCTTTGATGAATATTGATGCAAAACTTCTCAACAAAATTTTGGCCAATCGACTTCAACAATTCATCCAAAAAGTCATACACCACGATCAAACAGGATTCATTTCAGGGATGCAAAGCTGGTTCAATATACGCAAATCAATTAATATTATTCATCACATCAACAGGAGCAAGAATGAGAACCACATGGTTATCTCAATAGACGCAGAAAAAGCATTCGACAAGATCCAACACCCCTTCATGATGAAGGTTTTGGAAAAATTAGGAATCCATGGAACATTCCTCAATACAATAAAGGCTGTATATGACAAACCTACAGCCAGCATTATACTCAATGGTGAAAAACTAAAGCCATTTCCTCTTAACTCAGGAACAAGACAAGGATGCCCACTCTCTCCACTTCTCTTCAATCTAGTATTAGAATGCCTAGCTACAGCAATAAGACAAGATGCAGACATAAAGGGGATCCAAATAGGGAAAGAAGAAATAAAACTCTCCCTCTTTGCAGATGACATGATCTTGTATTTAAAGAATCCCATAGACTCCACTCCCAAATTACTCAAGCTGATTCAAAACTTTGGCAAAGTAGCAGGTTATAAAATTAACCCCCAAAAATCAATGGCTTTTCTGTATGCCAACAATGAGAAAAGTGTGGCTGAAATTAGGAAAGCAACTCCATTTGTAATAGCCCCACAAAAAATAAAATACCTAGGAATTAACTAAAGAAGTGAAGGACCTCTATGATGAAAACTTTAAAATCTTGAAAAAGGAAATCAACACAGAACTAAAAAAATGGCAAAGCCTCCCATGCTCCTGGATTGGAAAGATTAACATCGTGAAAATGGCAATACTTCCCAAGGCTATCTACAAATTCAACGCAATACCTATCAAAATTCCACCCTCATTCTTCAAGGAAATAGAAGAGGCAATCCAAAAATTCATATGGAACAATAAAAGACCCCGAATAGCAAAAACGCTCCTCAACGGAAAGAACACTGCTGGAGGAATATCAATACCAAATTTCAAACTCTACTATAAAGCCATAGTAATCAAAACAGCTTGGTATTGGCATAAGAACAGACCTCAGGACCAATGGAATAGAATTGAAAATCCAGAAATGAACCTACAGACCTATAGCCATCTAATCTTCGATAAGGGAGCTAAAACAATAGAATGGAAGAAAGACAGCCTCTTCAGTAAATGGTGCTGGCAAAATTGGTTAACTACATGTAGAAAACTAAAGCTAGATCCTTATATATCACCCTGCACCAGAATCAACTCCAAATGGATCAAAGACCTCAGAGTCAAAGCAGACACTCTGAAAACATTACAGGATGGAATAGGAGAAACCCTGGGTCTCCTTGGCTCAGGCCAAAATTTTTTGAATAGAGACCCGGAAACACAACAAATCAAAGAAAGGTTGGACAAATGGGATTGCATAAAGTTGCAGAGCTTCTGCAGGGCAAATGACATAGCTAGCAAGATCAATAGAAAGCCCACGGATTGGGAGAAGATCTTTACTAGCCATACAACAGACAAGGGTCTCATATCTAAAATATACTTGGAACTCAAAAAATTAAACCCCCCAACAACAAATCCTCAAAGAAACAACTGCCCAATAAATAAGTGGGCGAAAGACTTAAAGAGAAACTTCTCTGAAGAAGAAAGAAGGATGGCCAATAGACAGACACATGAAGAAATGTTCAACATCCCTAGCCATAAAAGAAACGCAAATCAAAACAACATTGAGATATCACCTCACCCCAGTTAGAATGGCAAAAATCAAGAACTCTAACAACAACAGATGCTGGAGGGGATGTGGACAGAAAGGAACCTTACTTCATTGTTGGTGGGAATGTAAACTTGTTCAACCACTTTGGAAAGCAGTATGGAGGTTCCTCAAAAGACTTCACATAGAACTCCCCTATGACCCAGCAATCCCACTTTTGGGCATTTACCCAAATGTTTACAAACCAGACCACACTAAAGCTACCAGCACAACTATGTTTATTGCAGCATTATTTACCATAGCTAAGATATGGAACCAACCCAGATGCCCCTCAGTAGATGAATGGATCAAGAAAATGTGGTATATATACACAATGGAATTCTATGCCTCCACCAGAAAGAATGACATTGCCCCATTTGTTAGGAAATGGAAAAACTTGGAAAAAATTATATTAAGTGAAGTAAGCCAGGCCCAAAGAAACATAGGTCCCATGGTTTTCCTTATTTGCAATATCTAGTATATGTATGAGTCAAGCGGAAAAGATCAGATAATGTGATGTCAGGAAAATGAACCCTTAGATATGTATTTTAATGTTTTTTTCTTTCATGCATGTGTTTCTAACGCATTTATAAGATTATCTCTTTGTTGCTTTGTATGTCCCTCCCCCACAGTATAACCCCTGCTTTCACTATATTTGATGTCAGTATAACTTGTGGAGGAGATGGGGAAAAACAGGTTGTTTAAGGATACAGGTGGACCTGTTGCAACAATGAGAAGTACAAGTTGTCATGTCCAAAACGAGCGGGAGGGGGGGGGGGCGGGGGGGGGCATGGGGGGAAGGAGAAAGATTGGGGGAGAGGGGGGAGGCTGGGAAGGGATGTGAAGGGTAAACCAAAGGAGGAGGCTGCAATGCTTGGTAAGAAATGTACGCATTATCCTGCCCATGTAATTGTAAACCCTCTGTACAGTATGTTCACAAATAAAATTAAATTAAATTAAAAAAAAAAGTTTCACGGACTTTCCTGCCCCTGGTCTGGCTTTGAACCATGATCCTCAGATCTCAGCCTCCTGAGTAGCTAGGATTACAGGCATGAGCCACCAGCACCCAGCTTTATATTTTTTTTAATGCCAACCCTGAGGCTTAAACTCATGGCCTAGATGTTATCCCTCAGCTTTTATTGTTCAAGGCTACCACTTGAGCTCTACTTCTGGGTTTTTGCTGGTTAATTGGAGATAAGTCCCATAATCTTTTCTGCCTAGGCTGACTTAAAACTGCAACCCTCAGATTTCAGCTTCCTGAGTAGTATGGATGGGGTGAGCCATCCCCGCCTGGCCATACAGAATACTTGTAACAACTTTACTCCATTGTATTTTCATTCCCCTCCTTTTTCCTCACCAATTTTTCCTATAGAGTTTTGTAGGTTTATTATTTTATTTTGCCGTTAACTTTTTTGAATTCTTTGTGTGTTCTGGATATTATTCCTTTATCTCTTAAATAGCTGACAAAGATTTTCTATAAATTGCTTTAGTTTTGTTCATCATAGAAGAGATTTATTGTCCTTGAGTTATGAACAATAACTTGGCTGGAAAGAGTAATCTTGCAACTTAAAATATTCTTTTTCTCTTATCTCTAGTGTTTTGACTAATATATAGCAGGAGTGGCTCTATTCTGTTCTTGTCTGTTTGTAGTCCTGAAGGCTATGTAGCTAAACAAGAAGTTTTCTATTACTGTATTGAATGTTTCTGATGCTTTTAACTTACACCTTTCTCTTTCTTTAGTGCCCATACTTTGTATATTTGGTCTTTT